TAAATAAATGACAGAAATAAAAATATAAATAAACGAGATAAATAAATAAATAAATAACAGAAATAAATAGACAAATAAATGACAAAATAAACAGATAAATAATTAACATAAATAGAACAAAGGTGGCGAGGAGAAAATGGGAAACTGAAGAAATTTCAGGGAAACCGGATAAGGAGGAGGAGACGGAAGAGCAGGAGGAAGTGGTGGGGGAAGGGGGGGCGGAGGAGGAGGAGGAGGGCGAGGAAGGAGGAGGAAGAAGAGAGGGAGGAGATGGAGGACGAGGACGAGGAGAGGGAAGGAGGAGGAGGAGATGTGGTGGAGGAAGAGGAAGAGGAAGAGGAGGAGGAGGAGGAAGAGAAGGAGAAGATGGTGGTGGAGGAGGTGTATATAGAGGAGGAGGAGGAGGAGATGGTGGTGTAGGAGGTGGATAAAGAGGAGGAGGAAGAGGAAGAGGAAGAGGAGATGGAGGAGGAGGAGGAGGAGGAGATGGTGGTGTAGGAGGTGGATAAAGAGGAGGAGGAAGAGGAAGAGGAAGAGGAGATAGAGGAGGAGGAGGAGGAGGAGGAGGAGGAGGAGGAGGAAGAAGAGGAGAAGGAGGAGAAAGAGGAGAAGGAGGAAGAAGAGGATGAGGAGGAGAAAGATGAGGAGGAAGAAGAGGAGGAGGAGGAGGAAAAGGAGGAGGGGGAGTAGGAGGAGGAGGAGGGGGAGCAGGAGGAGCAGGAGAGGGCCGGCAATCCCTGAAGTGGTACCTCCGGCCTGACCCGAGGCAGTTCAAGGACCTTCGCAGCGACACTCCACCTTGTAGCTGCTCCGTGTACCTCCTCCTCCTGCACCATGGGGCGTCCCTGGTTCCTCCACCCTCCCCCACCCTTGCACCGAGGACCTGCAGCTTCGAGGACGAGGACGAGCTCTGGCCTCGGAACCCCAAGACACACCCCAACGAAGAAACAAATGAAGAAGGATTCTGCAAGTCTCGGCCGAGGATCCGAACGCGAACTCCTACGGCAGTTCCGGTTCGAGAGATCCTTTGCATAAGTACATATTTAAGCAGAGATTTTTTTTTTCTCTCTCGGTCTCGGTCTCACTCTCTCTCGCTCTCGCTCTCGTTCTCGCTTTCTCTCTCTCTCTCTTTTTTTCTTTCTTTCTCTCCCTCTCCCTTTCCCTCTCCCTCTCCCTTTCTCTCTCCCTTTCTCTCTCTCTCTCTCTCTCTCTCTCTCTCTCTCTCTCTCTCTCTCTCTCTCTCTCTCTCTCTCTCTCTCTCTCTCTCTCTCTCTCTCTCTCCTTCTCCTTCTCCTTCTCCTTCTCCTTCTCCTTCTCCTTCTCCCTCTCCCTCTCCCTCTCCTTCTCTCCCTCTCCCTCTCCTTCTCTCCCTCTCTTCCTCTCCCTTTCTATCTCTCCCTCTCCCTCTCCCTCTCTCCCTCTCTCCCTCTCCCTCTGCCTCTCTCTCCCTACCACTCGTAAAAGACCTTTGATCATTCTGCATCAACCTGGACGAGGGTCGAGTGTTCGCATCCCGAGATAATTTCAAAAGGCTCGCCAAATTCTCGGGAGCTTCGGTGACAGAGCGAGCACCACGCCCAGGCCAAGGTAGAGTGCCTCCCCGCCCACACGTGCCACTCACACACACACGCCCACTGCGGCCTTACTTGATACCCACAGTTCACTTAGGCGATCACACTTCACACCCACAATTCACCAACACGCCCACACTTCACACCCACAATTCACCAACACGCTCACACTTCACACCCACAACTCCCTAACACGCCCACACTTCACACCCACAATTCCCCAACACGCCCACACTTCACACCCACAACTCCCTAACACGCCTACACTTCACACCCACAACTCCCCAACACGCCCACACTTCACACCCACAACTCCCTAACACGCCCACACTTCACACCCATAACTCCCTAATACGCCCACATTTCACACCCACAACTCCCTAACACGCCCACACTTCACACCCACAACTCCCTAATACGCCCACATTTCACACCCACAACTCCCTAACACGCCCACACTTCACACCCACAACTCCCTAATACGCCCACATTTCACACCCACAACTCACTAACACGCCCATAATTCACTAAGGCGCCTACGCATGTCACCCACGCTGCCGCGAACGTCTATTAGGTAAGCATCATTACATTACGTGGTCCGGGAGGGGGGTGAGGGAGCTAGGGTGAGGGGGGTGAGGGGTGAGGGAGCTAGGGTGAGGGGGGTGAGGGGGGTGAGGGAGCTAGGGTGAGGAAGATGAGGGAGCTAGGGTGAGGAAGATGAGGGAGCTAGGGTGAGGAAGATGAGCGAGCTAGGGTGAGGAAGATGAGGGAGCTAGGGTGAGGAAGATGAGCGAGCTAGGGTGAGGAAGATGAGCGAGCTAGGGTGAGGAAGATGAGCGAGCTAGGGTGAGGAAGATGAGCGAGCTAGGGTGAGGAAGATGAGGGAGCTAGGGTGAGGAAGATGAGGGAGCTAGGGTGAGGGTGTGAGGGAGATAAGGGAGGTGAGGGATGAGCCCACAGGCGTCGGTAATAATATAATCGCATCCATCAACCGCCCTGTGCTTTCATCGGCCCACATGAGGCAGCGTCATGGCGGCAGGTAATTAGCGAGGCAATCACAGCTACACAAAATTATAACTTTTCCTCACCTTTTCTTTTCTTTTCTCTTCTCTTCTCTTCTCCTTTCTCTCTCTCTCTCTCTCTCTCTCTCTCTCTCTCTCTCTCTCTCTCTCTCTCTCTCTCTCTCTCTCTCTCTCTCTCTCCTTTCACTATCTCTTCTCCTCTCTCCCTCTCTCTCTCTCTCCTTTCACTATCTCTTGTCCTCTCTCTCTCTCTCTCTCTCTCTCTCTCTCTCTCTCTCTCTCTCTCTCTCTCTCTCTCTCTCTCTCTCTCTCTCTCTCTCTCTCTTATTACTCCGATCACTCAAGTATTTTTTTTTTTTTTTCTATTGAAAGTCACGAAGAAGAAAAAAGTTCGCGTATTACGTTACTTTTCTCCTCCTATTTTCTCATCTTAAACTGAGATTTAAATCAATCTCTTGAGGTCCGGCAAGCCGAGTGGACGTGCGTGTGAAAGGACATCAAAAAAATATATAAAAAATAAATCCTTGTCGGCGCATGGACGTCATGTTTGTGTGCATGTCAATCGCCACTCATACTTGAGTCGAACACCTCAAATATCTCATCTTTAAGCTATAAACTTAACGTCCGCGCTTGCATAATAAATGGATTTTGAAAGTCATCCTCAGTAGCTACGATATAAAATGAAAAGGTAGAACTTGGTCATGGAGGCTGTTATGTTAAGATCCGAAATTATTTGACAGGTGAATAGGTTGTTTGTAGTAAATTACGCTTTCAGTCGAAGGAGCACTGGCGTCAGGTGAGTGCTTACAAGTGCGTGCGTCTGTGCGCTCTATATATACAAAGGGTTGTGGATATGTACGCGCGCGCGCACGCACGAACGCACACACACACACACACACACACACACACACACACACACACACACACACACACACACACACACACACACACACACACACACACACACACACACACACTCACGCAAACCGAAGCCCACATCGCCCGAGATTTTCCTAACAAGGCAATTTGGGCGGCCTTATGTATATCGATTCTGACTAATTCGGCCCAAGACGTGCCTAATGTGTGCCAATACTGAACGTCCTCCATTTTTTCTTCTCCGTGCCCTCGGCCCTCGCGCCCACGGCGGCCGAACTGCGGGGCAAGACATGCGGGCTGCGTCTGGCGCCCGCATCCTACGCCCGATGCCCGCGCCGCCGCTTCGGGCTCGGCGGCCGGGGAGGCGTCACTCACCGTTTTTAGGTTGTCTGTGTCTGCGTCTGCGCTGCGTCTGTGTCTGTGCCTCTCTCTCTCTCTCTCTCTCTCTCTCTCTCTCTCTCTCTCTCTCTCTCTCTCTCTCTCTCTCTCTCTCTCTCTCTCTCTCTCTCTCTCTCTCTCTCATCCCCCCCTCTCTCTCTCTATCTCTCTCTCTCCTTTCTTACTCCCAACCTTCCCCTCTTCCCTTCTCGCTGTCATATTCGACCTTATGCAACACACTTGCCACGCTGAGAACCCTCGTCTTTACACCCAATCCCTTTTCCCGCCGCTGTATCTGAGGCAATAAAACCGAGTGCACGAAAGCAATAAGTAATCGACATAGCAACAGTAACGATAAATATAAGAGATATAACAAGTACAACAACAACTAAAACGACAACAACAACAACAACAACATATACTATTACTACTTTTACTATCATAACTCATATTAACACTGGCAATAAAACTAATACTAGTTACTTTTCTTACTATTATTTTCAATACTAATAATATCCCTCCTTCTACCCACAACTGCTACTGCTCCGTCTGCGCTAGAAGTGAAAGAATCTGAAGAAACATTACCTGTCCAATATACATCATCTTATTGCATCCTCTCATGCAGCAACTGTCCCTAATAATGGTTTCATAATTTCTTATCTTTTATGGAAGTGCACGCAAATATACTGAAAAATAGAATGCGTAAATAACAACCAAAAAACAAACAATATGCTGAATGGTGCGTTTCGAGTGTTTTTTATATTCTTTTCCCTTTGAGAAGTTAAATTGTTATAGCGAAATTATATATGTAATTCTTTTATATATAAACTTTCTTTTGCGTTGAATGAAAAACGCAGATGTGACCTGACAATAGTCTTAGATATTATAGACAAAAAGATCCTACTAAAAAGAACCTTCAATAAGTAGTCATAACAAACAGACAAACACAGAGGCCACTGGATAACTTGAATAAACTCTTTCCATTCCGATACAGTGCTATCACTTGCGTCATTTCGTCATATTTCGTGATTATTTTCATTCCGGAATGACTCAACGAAATGAAGCAACGAGATGCGCGATTGAAGCAAGAGGAAATGGCTCTGATTGTCTCGCCGCCGCGTGAGGTAAGGGGAGGTAGGGCCCTCGATTCTGGTTAGCTTGAGGTTGGAGGTTCGAGGTTGAACGTTGGAGGTTGGAGGCTGGGGATTCCAAGTTCGAAGTTCGAGGTTCGAAGTTCGAGTTTGAAAGCTGGGGGTTCGAAGTTAAAGGTTGAGGTTCGAGTTCGAGGTTCGGAGTTGGCGATTGGAGGTTGGAGGGTGGAGGTTGGCGGTTCAAGGTTGGAGAGCGGAAGCTGGGGATTGGATGGAAACAAAGAGAGTCCGACAGGGAAGATGGATAAGGGTGAGAAGGGTGAATAGAGAAAGGATGGAAAGAGAGAAACAAGGACAAACATATAAAAAAATATAGACAAAGGAGAAAGGAGTAATGGAAAAGGTGCGAGAGAGAGAAAAGGAAAAAAGAAATGCCACTTAGTAAGAAACGAAAAAAAGGGGGGAATAAAGAGAAGGGGGAGAGGACAAAGAGGGCTCTGTCCAGCCACCGAGGGATATCAAATGAACATGACATTTTTATCTCAAGGAAAGGATTTCTATCCTCACCTCAACCCATCCGCCGGACCCTCACGTCACCGTCCTCCTTCAACTCATCCACTTCTTCCTCAACGCATCCACCTCCCTCCCCCCCCCCCCTCGCCCCCTGAGACTCACCCATCCGAGGAGGGCGTGAGTGAGGCCTCAGCTCCAACAACGACGCGGTTTATCGCACGGGAAACGCCGGTTGTCGGTAAGAGCAGATTAGGTGCTCTCGCGGCGACAACACTGGCCGGCGAGTGTTGCCAGATACAAAGCATTTTCACTCCGACGGATATGATGAAAGCGTAGACGAGCGATACGTTATCAACAAGATACCAATTAACAAATACATTATCTTCGACATAATTCCGTGCTGTCTTTGAACTCTCTGTCCCCTCTATCTCCATTTTTACGTTGCGAAACGGAGGTGAAATGAACTAGGATTAAAAAAAGAGAGAGAGAGTAAAAAATAAAACGTTTGATAGGACCAACAAAACATACAGCAGTTTCTCTAATCCTCTTTGCAGTTGATGACGTCAAGAGAATTATCACAGGGGGCAGAAGGTGCTATTCCCGTTCCATTACCTCATATATATATGTGTGTGTGTGTGTGTGTGTGTGTGTGTGTGTGTGTGTGTGTGTGTGTGTGTGTGTGTGTGTGTGTGTGTGTGTGTGTGTGTGTGTGTGTGTGTGTGTGCTGTACATGTACTTTCACTTCTATAGCGAGATCACAGTGTAAAGTTTCAGTAGAATGAAAGGCTTCAACGTAATTAACAATGTACGTGTGTTGTGTGCTGTGTGTGTGTGTGTGTGTGTGTGTGTGTGTGTGTGTGTGTGCGTGCGTGAGAATTTTTCTCTCCATTTAGACTTATCTAAATTCTTCTTTTTAGAAACATACACACACAAGCACACACACACACACACACACACACACACACACACACACACACACACACACACACACACACACACACACACACACACACACACACACACACACACACACACACACACGCACGCACGCACACCAAATGCGTAAGACGTGATTATAGTCATTATCAAAACATGAAATGAAGAGAAAATTGAAACCATTGACACTAGCAACAACCCCGTCCGTAGAGTGGTATTTCCTCCGTTATTCCTGGTAGCCTCAAGAGTAAATATGCACTCACAGACACTGCCTTGGTACGCGTTTCCCTGAAATGTGTAATTGTCTTGACGTAATTATGTTTAAATCAGTTTCTTATCTGTTAGTTCGTGGGTCCATGTTTCTGGAGATAATGTTATTTTTATGTGTGTAAATTTTTTTCTTTTTTTTTTTCTTCTTCTATCTGTGCACTTTTATATATGATTTTGGAAAATCTTTCCTTGAAATATATAATTGTCTATGCTTATACATTTGTGTGAAAAATCTTTCTGTCCACGTATCAGCATTTTTTTTTTCACAGCTTTATCTATCAATATTAATCTATGAGACTCTTTACTTACACATTATTACCAATATTCTTTCTTTCCTATTATATCAAAAGTAGGCCTCAGTAGACTTATTTAGAAACTAAAGTATTTCCTGTCGCCTATATAATATGTGCTTAGGGGAAAATGCAAAAGTAAAATAATGACGTAAGATTTTCTCTTGTCTTGTTTTGCGTTTGGAGAAACAAAATAGGCACAAAATACCCAAATCCGGCTCTGTTCCTAAAGTAATTGAAGAGCCCTGATGTATAGAGTAAGGAATGTCATATTTTTTTATACTCATTCAATAAAAAAACAGTTCTGGATCCTCTTTGGTGCGCGGAACGCATTCCTCGGCGAAGGTTGGTTAATTCTATTCTGCATTCGGTTCAAAATCCTTCGCTCGGCATTTGTTTTTACAGAATATTACCCAACTTTTTTTTTTTTTTCCTTATCAACTTAGATAGACGTCTTGCGGCAGAGTTTCCTCGAATAAGTGTTTCTTCATTATCTCTTTTCTTTTTTTTCTGCTCCACCGCCCGTCTTTCCTGTTTCTTAATCTTCCCTACTTTTTTTTTTCTTTTTGCCTTCTTTGTCCCTACTTACCCCGCTGTTCCTCCTTCCCCCTACTCTATACTAACTCTCTCTGTTTTCTTTCTCTCTCCTTCTCCCTCTTTCACTACGCCCTTCCCCCACGCTCCCCTTCGCTCCCATTCTCCTTCGTCAGCGCCAGGGTCCGTAGCCGGCTTCTCCGTTTGCCGTAAAACACATCATCCGGCCGTTGGTCTTGCCGTAAATACGAAAGTCGTTTTCGTTCGAGTATAAAAGTCACGACTGAGGACTTCGTTTTTTTGTTATTTATTCATTTATTTACTTGCAAGCTGTATCAGAGGAAAGAAGGAAAGAAAGGAAGAAATGAAGGGTATAATAAAAAAGAAGGAAAGAAAGAAAGAAATAATAAAAAGAAGGAAAAAAAATAAAAAAAAGGAAGAGAAAGAAAGGATAGAAAGAGGGAAAACATAAAAAGAAAGAATAGAAAGAAGGAAAAAATAATAAAAAGAAAGAAAGAAGGAAAGAATAGAAAGAAAGAGAGAGAAAGAATGAAAGAAGTAAAGAGAGAGAGAGAGAGAGAGAGAGAGAGAGAGAGAGAGAGAGAGAGAGAGAGAGAGAGAGAGAGAGAGAGAGAGAGAGAGAGAAGAAAAAGAAAGAAAGAGAGAGAGAAGAAGAAAAAGAAAGAAAGAGAGAAGAAGAAAAAGAAAGAAAGAAAATAATAAAGAAAAGAAAGACAGAAGGAAAGGAATAGACGAAAACAGAAGGAAAACGATAACAGCGAAAAGGTTATGAGTCAGCTGTACCATAACCACGAATTATCCGAAATATATTGATAATAAAGAGTTTTCTGTCGCATCAGAAGAGGAAGAAAATGAAGAAGAAAAGGAAGGAAAAGAAAAAGAAGAAAGGAGGAAAATGAAGAAAAAAGGGAAGGAAAAGGAGAAGAAGAAATAGGAAGGAAAAGAAGGAGAAAAAGGAGGAAAACGAAGAAGAAAAGTAGAAGAAAAATAAAGAAAAAGAAATGAAAAGAGGAAGAAAAAGGAAAGAAAAGAAGAAAAAGAAAGGGGGAATAAAAAGGAAGGAAAAGGAAAAGAAAATGAAGAAAAGGAAGGAAAAAGGAAATATGAAGCAAATGAAGAATTGCCCATAGCCACATAAGGGCAATCTCCTCGGTAAAATAATAGTAATGATGAAAATAATAATAATAATAATAATAATTATAATAATAATAATGGTAATGATGATGATGATGATGATGATGATGATGATAATAACAAAAATGATAATAATAATAAAATAATAATAATAATAATAATAATAATAATAATGATGATAATAATAATAACAACAACAATAATAAGAATCAGAATCATTACGATAACAACAACACAACAACAAGAACAACAATAATAAGAATAAGAATACCAACAACAACTATAATAACAAAAAAAAACAAAATTAACAATAAATACATTATAAAACAGAAAAAGACCAAGGCAAAAACAAAAACAAACAAACAAACATATGACACTTCTCCATCGCCCATGAAAATGAAAAAAACAAAAAACAACAACAACAAAAAAAACACGTTAATTACTCTCTGTTCACGATGAATAAATAGAAAGATCAAGCGTTATCTGGAAGCCTTTTGTAGTCCACGAAGAGAAAGAAGAGAAAATGGACGAAAATAGGCGAAAAGAGAGAAGGAAAGTAGGAGCAACATTCATCCCTCTGCATCTGCGAGTCGTTCGAAAGACCGTGAAAATGATAATAATAATGATAATGATGGTGATAATGATGATCATGATTATCATCATCATAATAATAATTATCATGATCATTATTACTATCATCATTATTATCATTCTCATCCTTATTATCGTTATTACTATCATTATTATCATTATCATTATCACTGCTATCTTCATTACCATTCTTCTGATAATAGAAGTAGTAATAATAGTAATAATAACAATCAAATAATAGTAACAGGCACATGCGGGTGGTCCGGGAGAGGCGCGACAGGCGAGCGAGCGGAGTCTGGCCGAAGATTCCCACACATTTCCAATCTGGACGTCTCCTGGCTCCAACGCCTTCTCACTCTGCTTCTGATGCTTCTTCTCTTTCGTCTTCTTCTTCGTTTTCGTCTTCTTCTTCGTTTTCGTTTTCGTCTTCTTCTTCTTCTTCGTTTTCGTCTTTTTCTTCTTCTTCTCTTCCTCCTCCTCCTCTTCCACCTCCTCCTCCTGCTCCTCCACCTCCATCTCCACTTCTTCTTCTTTCTCCTCCTCCTCCTCCTCCCCCACCTCTACCTCTACCTCTACCGCTACCTCCACCTCCACCTCTACCTCTACCTCCACCTCCATCTCCTCCTCCTTCTCCTCCACCTCCTCCTTCACACGCTCCTCGCCAAGGACTATCTGGAGGAACATCTTACACTCTCGAATAAGGGCGAGTTAGCATCCACCGCCGTTTTATCTCCTTCAGTTATTTGTTTTTCGTGACTTCGGGGCCGGTTTCGGTCTCCTCGGCTTTCCCGAATTATGTGGGCGCGATGGTCCGTAGATTTTGGGGAGTGGGGGTGGGTGGAATGGGTGGGAGGGGGTGGGGGAGTGTGTTTTTTTTCTGGAGGAAGGGGAGAGGGGTTTTGTTGCCAAGATGTGTCGGGTTTTCTGTGAATGTTTACTGGTTTGATTCAAATGTCTGCGGTCTTCGCCGTGTGCTGCGGGAAGCGAGGTGGTGACAGGGGCTAAATATCGAATTCATTTTTGGTTGTCTGTTTGGCTATACTGTCTATCTGTCTATTTGTCGTTTTTCCGTCTGTGTCTGTCTGTCTGTCGTTAGTCCGTCCGTCTGTCTGTCCGTCCGTCTCTGTCTCTCTCTCTCTCTCTCTCTCTATATCACTCCCATACACACATACAAACAAGAGCATATATGTACTGCATGTAGTAACTAAAATATGCATGTGCAGTCACGCCTGGAGTCTTTTTCAAAACATGCCCCGAATATTGATTCTGGAATCAGTTACAGTCGCTCGATTTTTCAAACTACTGTACAGTGAGGAGATAGGACTTGCAATCGTGATTATGCATATCTATCTAGCTATATGTGTATGCGTGTGTGTTTATATTTACTCTCTCTCTCTCTATCAGTGTGTGTGTGTGTGTGTGTGTGTGTGTGTGTGTGTGTGTGTGTGTGTGTGTGTGTGTGTGTGTGTGTGTGTGTGTGTGACAAAAAGAAAGAGAGAGAGAGTGAAAACCAAAAATACAGACACAGAAAAAAAACAGACATACAAACAGAAATGACTAGCTTTGACACGACACAGCTTCACACCAAAGCCATCCTCTTTGCCTCTCCTAGCCCCCCCCTCCCCGTTCGCGTCCCCAGGAGAGAGGGTGTAACACATCTTGCATCGTAACTTAATACAAACTTGAAAAGCTTCAAAGACACCAGGTCGATAAAGGCTGACTAAGCGGAATGTAGTCTCGACCGCGGAATATCCTTCAATTTTTCTCAAGTAGATGTATATGTAGATTCAACACACGCACGTACAGAGAGAAAGAAGCATGATGGGTTTGTTTTTGTGTCTGAATGCGTTGGTGTGTGTTTCTTTGTGA